CATTTTTCCATCCACAAATTTTCACCCTTGGAAATACAAAAATTAACCTCTGATAAGTTGCCAAACTTGCAAATGATAAAAAACAGTATCTTTCCTACCTTCTTCACAGATTTGTTGTAAGGATTAAATATTAAGGTGGATATAACAGCATGTTGTTTCTAGAGGAAGTTGAACTACTAATAACAAATATCAATACCTATTTTAAAAGACCTGCAGTTCAATTTATTGGTTGTTTTTTTTTCTATTTTTGCCTTCTTGGATTTGAAAAATTTCAGTACACATTTTCTGAAAACCTGCCTCCACACAGCTAATCATTTTCCCTGCTATCCTATATAATCTGGACATTTTGCTATGGTGAAATTATTATGAAATCTTTTTTAAAGAGGAAGAAATTGAGAACAGAAACATTTAATAACAAACAGTCCTCACACAGCTAGTAAGAAATGACATCAAGATTCAAAGCAAGGGAGACTAAATATGCAACTCATGATTTTTTTATGCATTATGATAATGAAATAATGAAAATATCATTTTATGTGAGAGAGAAGTTGACTTAATAAGGCAATTAAATCCATTTGTATTTTACCCACATGAAATCAAGAACTATGAAATTTCACCTAACAAAGGACATGAATAAAAATGTTTCCTTTAAGGTAAATTCCTAGGAGTGGAATTCCTGGGTCAAATGGTATTTCTATTTTGAGGAACCTCCATACTGTTTTCCACAATGGTTGAACTAGTTTACATTCCCACCAGAAGTCTAGGAGGGTTCCCCTTTCTACACGTCCTTTAAACTAGGAAAAATACTTTGTAGTAGGTAGAAAACCAAGCCTGTCAGTCAGTTCTCTGTTAAAACAGAAAACAGCATTCTGTTAAAACATCATTTGGCCTCATAATCCACCTCAACACAATTTTCCAATGGTCATGACCACTGGATCAGCATTGGTATTCAAGATGACGCTGAGTTGTCCTCTTTGCTTCAGACTCTCAAATGAATGGTCAGAGACGTAGACAGTAGCTCTTATAAACTTTTAGTGGAAAACCTATGCACATTCAGTTCTGGGTTCTACCACTGTTAAAGAATAATTATTCTGATGCTGGCTAAACATAGCAAGGAAGACTTTACTTGAGATTATTGTAGGAGGGGAGAGATTGAACCCAACTCAGAATACGACAAAGATAACTGGGGATTTACAAATCAAGCTGCAGAGTGAGGGGTCAGTGGATGGAAAATTAGAAGAACTTTGAGATATCAAGGGTAGAGACTTATTAACAGGCTTCATAGAATTCTTGCTAAAGGTAAGCCAGGGACTTAGTTATCAAAGGAGGAAGATGAGGAACTTGATCAGATAACAGGAGTGGGGGAATTTTAATAAACTGTCTTATCAGGATTCTTTTCTAAAACTGGACTCAGCAGGCTGGGATTGAAGCCAAGACAAGAAGAGGGCTTAGAAGAGCTGGATTGAAATCTGGTCAAGCAGGAAGTCTCTGTTACCATGGACTTGTTATATAATTTGTGTTTAAAACACAAACAACACCAACAAAAACCTGGGGAATTAATTCAACCGTGGATGCCCAGTATTTTCAGTATTTGCCATATGTCTGACATTATCCTAGGAACTGGAAATGAGAGAAGCAAAATGCATGATTCTGTGCCAGCTTAAAAGCAGGTCATGGTTATTCTCGTACACACACTGGGGATTTTGTAGTCATGAGGCTCTAGGTTCCATCCCATCTCTGCCACTGTGTGGCTTTAAATTAGATAAGATGCTGAGATTTATCTTTATCATCAGTAGAACTAGATGGGCTATTATCTCCATTTTGGGTTGTGCTGCACATTAAAGGGTAAGACATCAATTAGAGAAAGCATTGTAAGTTTTCAATTTCAATCCAATCAATATTTGAGTTACCTACTACCATGACAGTTATTGGGGATACTATAGTGCCTATCACAAGAAAATTCCTCATCAAGAAAGAATATAAACCGACAAGAAATGTCAGGTGTAGGGTGGTGGCTGTTGGTACTAAAAGGAATACAGCAGTAGTGTCACTAGCATTATCAGTATTCTTTGTGACCTGGGTCAGAAGCCAACTTGGGGTTGAGAACTAGACCTATTTCTCATCCAAAACTTCTGTGCCTTTATGGGTTCTCTATTGAAAAAAATGACTTAAAAATGTAACAGCCTGAAGCAATACTTCAGTATGCTCATTTGTGCCTTCTCCATCTGAGCCATCCAGATGTTTGAGCTGCAGGCCTGGACATCTGTGTGCTTGCTGTGATTTCCAGTTGTTCTCTGTGTGACCTTGCACAGACAACCTCAGGAGATCCTTCAGTATTTCCATGTTTTTAAAAATCTTTTGCTTAGATGAGCTTTGGTATTCATCGGGTCATATTTCATGTGTGCTGTAAACCTCAATGTTAGGATTTCAAATCATCCACAGAAGAGGTTCAAGCCAAATTCATCTTAGTTGCTTTTAAATGACCTTTTCCTGACCTCAAATAATGTCCAGTCAAGGAAATCAAAATCACTTTCATACTAGCTCAGTACAAGAAATTGGTAGTGTAAATCCAATTCTAAGAAACAAACAATAAAACATAGCTCACCCCAAACTAATTTAAAAAGGTTTGAGATATCAATTATAAAATCTATGGCTTCTCATATATAATGAATTATATCAGAACGATAAAAAAAATCCTTTCATATCTTTGCAGCAACATTTTTCTACTCAATTCTTGAAAAATAATGGTTTTGACAATTCTTTTCCATATTATAATCAATTAAATTTGATTCAAATCTGATATTTATGTGGCTCAAACTTTAGTTAAAAAATATTCATTGTGCTTACTATATGTAACCTAGGTACTGCAGAAATGTAAAGAAAAAAAAAACATGCATGAGCTTTGCTTGTAAGGTGAAACTAAACACATGTTCCCAAAAAAACATTTAAAATTGATTTTGTGAGGGAATACTACATAGGCATAAAAAAGCAATAAGGCTCTTTCTATATGCAGCCTAGGAATGATCTCCATGGTATATTGTATAGCATGTTTTTGTTCATCTAATAAACAGGGAAGTATAAATATATAAACACATTTGTTTATATTAAAAATTAGAAGGATTAAACCAAAACTTTTAAGTCATTGTGTAAGGGAGAGGAGGTAATGATTGAATACAGAAACAGAAGATGGGCTTCTGTTAATGACTTTGCTTTGTAAATTTATCTTTAGAAAAATATAAATATTTCATATAGCTATAAGACAAAATTGAATTTAAAAATCAATTTCTTAAAAATAGAAACAGATGTAAAAAAATTTGCTTAAATGAACAAGCTGGTGGCATAATCACACAGGAAACAGCTGAACAGATTTTTAAAAGCAGTCTTCTAAACTTATGCATTCCTAGGGAGATGTACATTAAAAACAAAGAACTGCCCCCAAAGCATGTTGAATATTATTAATTTTCAGAAATCATATTGGTGGTAGTAATGTTAGTATTGTTATTCCTCTTTTAAAGAAATGATTATAAAAGACTTTCCTATCTTCTACTTTTCCCCTTAACAGCTTTATTGAGGTATGATACACACATAATAAACTGTATAAATAAGGTATGTGATTTGATAAATTTTGATACATGTGTATACCCATGAAACCACCATCACAATCAATTATTTTTGAGTAGCTTTCTATTGTGTAGATATAACACAATTCACGTATTCATTCACCTGCTTGTGAATATTTAGGTTGAAACCAGTTTTTGACTATTACAAATAAAATGGCTGTGAAAATTCATGCACAACTCTTCATGGAATCATATGGTTTCATTTCTCCTAGGTAAAAATGGAATGTCTGGGTTATATGGTAGGTGTATTTTTAACTCTTTAAAGAAACTGACTACTTGTTTCCCAAAGCAGTTGTACATTTTACTTTCCCACCAGCAGTGTAGGAAAGATCTAGTTTCCCATATCCTCATCAACACTTGACAAGTCCAAACTTTTGAATTTCAGTCACTCTAATAAGTGTGCAGTGGTACTTCACTGTGGTTTTAATTAGCATTCCCTAGTGACTAATTGCCTTGGAAAATCTCAGTGTTTCTGGTGGTGTTTGGCAGGTAGACATACTTAAAATTTATTGGAGCACTTAAATCTAATGACCAACTAACTCTTTTAACATACCTCTACACACTTTTAATACAGTTAATATGACTTGAGACAAAAATATAACAGCAGGAAATTTTAGTGGTGTCCCATTTACAAAGCTATTTTTCCAAGTGTGATGACAGAGAACACCTCCTTGTAGGAAAGGGCTGATCCTCCCAGGGGTTGGAGCTGCTGTTCCACTGACCTCAGTTGGTGTCTGATGGGAACACTGCAGACGTCCTGGGCTCCTTCCCCCAACTCTTTCTAAGAAGTAATAAGACTTCTGTTTCCACACCATTTTACTAACTAACTCCACCCAGTGCGAGGACATGGGAAAAATGAAAAAGACTATAAAGGCAGCAATGTGAAATAAGTAATGAAAGAATAAAATGAGAAATAGGTCGAAAGTGAGAAAAAAGGAAGAGAGGAAGAGTAAATAAAGAATGGTGATTTTAAAATAGCAGAACGAAACAGTAAATAAAACATGAAAAGTGACTACACTTTGAAAAGGAGAAGTCAGAGGATGCGGGCATGAGCCCTTTAAGAGTCTAACCGAGTGGAGTGGTGGGCCTTCTGGAGGAGGGTGGTGTGGCCACGAGCTCCTTCCACCACTGCCCAAGGGCGTGTGCGCCGACTGTGATGCTCCTTGAGCCTCAGGTTTGCTTCTTTATAACAGGGATAATGATCACTGTTCCAGATGAACGGTTTGAGGATTTAAAAAAAAAATTTAGATATATGGAAGATCTTAGTGCTATTCTCTAATCTACATTTGGAGATCTATTAGGAAACTTGAGAGCTTAGAAATAAATAAGAGAAGCCTCATTATGGACTCCACTGGCAGAAAATTTGCATTAAACGGTTTGGGCAAAAGCAGCAATTTATTCATTTTTACAAACGTGGTCTTACAAACATCATACAGAGCTGGCACAAAAGAACAGACACCATCTCATACACCATGCTTCCTCCCAAATCACTTCTATTGAGTTACAACGTCAGAACAAGTCAGTTACTGAGTTACACAGTTCTTCAAACATGGATACCTCCCCTTTAGGGTGGTTAGATTGGCTAATCAGACAAACAATTAATTTACATGTTTAATACAGTGCAGGATTTGTAACAGAATTCAGGATATTCACATTGATATTGTAATACATTATAAAACAGTACAGCTTTCAGAAGATGATGGGATCACATCTGCCCCTGCCTGTTTCAATTCCTTTCTAGCATTTTTCTTTCTTGTCTTAAAAGCAGTTGCAAATACTTGTACTCAACTTTTCACACTCAATAACACTTTAAATTTTAAAAACTAAAAACTATTTACAAATTATTCATTATAATTTTCAAAGTATTTATTGTTGGCTTTGTTGTTCCACTTAAAAAAAAATCACTCTCCAACTACCACTATTAACTTCAGGCCATTGTGAAGGATACTTAGAGTTGACTTCCTCACAACTTTTCAGAGCTCCAAATATATTTACTATATTCCATGGCCCACGATACCAAATACACATACATAAAGGCCATTTGACTTCCTCAAGCCCCACACTGACTACAATTTATTTCATGTTTCTTTCTTAGAAATGCTGACTGGACCAAGATGCTGTGAGGGGACTTTGTGGTGTAATGAAGACAATGATTGAGGAATATTCTTTTTAATCCCAAAGTCATCTTAAAGCACAAAAAAGAAGTTGACGTCAATCTGTGTACACACAGAATGTAAAACATTTTCTTTACATTAGGAATAGTCATAAAAAGCATGTAGAAGTTGTTTTGAAAATGCATCATCATAGAATTTACAAACACTATGATAATGAACACATTCTCCAAAACTGCTGAAGGACTGACACAAAACCTGACTCAAAATGTAAATTTTCAGTAGACTTTATGTCTAACTTGCATATTTAGTAATTCAACTGTACCGAGTTTTACTCATACTTCTCTAAAAAGCAAATGTAGTGACATTAACTCGTTAATTCTTTCCAAATAATCACAGGGCAATGCTTTACTCTAACAGGTTTTTAATGAATTTGTAGCCCTGGATCTGGAAAACAGTACAAGACACACGTCTATTAACTGTTCCATAGACAACAGCTCAAGACAAAATTAGCCTAGAAAAGAGAGTGAAACATACTTTGTTGTGCTAATTTGACAGCCTAAATATATTGTGTGTGAACATATGCAAATTACATTAAGCTTGCTGTATAACATTTTTTTAGTCTTATTACTTAATTTGTTGTTTCAAGTAACTCTTTCTATCTGGCATTGGTTAAAACGTCAGTCTTTTTGTTTGTTTTCCTTTTCAAATGGTAGCTTAGTCCTTCCTGGGGAAGAACAAGCTAAATGAAGTCTTAGCCATGCCCCTTCTGTGTACAAGGGATAGCCTTGAACATACACCTGTGTACTATAAATACCTCCTATAAGAAAACTGCATTTCTTAATGGATTTCTAGCTGAAGTTTATTTCTTTGCCCACTAGCTAATTCAACAACTTCATAGAGGTAAATAGGGCTTTCTTAGATCACACTGATGCTTGTAATAGGCAGTAAATAATTCAACACAATGGTTCTTCTGTGAGATTATATTTTACATTTTGACTCACATATAACCTTAAGGGGGAGAAAAATAATATTTCAGCCACAGTGTTCTCAACTCAGTCCTTTGATAAAATGATTTCTCAGCTTGTTTGCTGTCCTTCTGAGACAAACCTGTTACTCTTTTTATGATAAAATTGTACCAAATAATTCCAAGCCAAAGAGAAATGATCATATACTTTTAAATGCAGGACAAGCATTTGCACATGACATAATCAGTAAAAACAAACTAGAGAACATTTCTTTAATATCTTTGGATGTAAAGAAAAGATTGATTTCCCCACCTGAATAAAAATGGATGAATTTTCGTAAGAGAAGCCATGCTTTTCATTTCCAAATCCTAAAGATCACATTGATTTCCAGGGACATGTCCCAGGAAGATCATCACCTTTTAACCACATCCACAATTTGGGATTGTAGCACAGTATTCATAAAATGCTTGACTATTCTTACTTATACCATTGGTAACCTGCAGGGGAAATTGAACATCTTTTGAAAACGTATCCAACTTTTCTAATAAAGGGGGAAATTATCACAATACACATTTACAGTTACCTTCTGGTCTGCTATTTCAATCCATTTCTAACAACAAAAGAAAGATAGCTGCTTCTTAAAAGCTTGTAATCATGTATAAAAAACAGAAAATTGCTCCTTGCCTAGTAAAAATCATCAAGTTCCAACTCATCCTGGCTAGGATGCTAACCATCACAGAGCATGTGCCACTTGGCAATTTGTCTCCTGGGATAGTCACAGATCTCCTTCCAGTGCTCGCCACCGGTTCCTTCCGCCAATGCTCCCAATACCAGCCGCCCAATCACCTCATTTCGGGATCCCCTTTCGGAATCCAAAACCAAAAACTCAACACTTATCTCTTCAAGACCCTCACAAGGAATATCAAAGACAAACAGTTCATTGAACACTGCGTTGGGGGTGCATTTCTTCACATGAGTCTTCTTCTTGGAGATCCTCTTTTTGGCATGATACAGGTTCACTTTAACATAGGGATCTGCAATGGTAAACAGCAGACATTTCACTGACAAAACCCGGCTGGAGGACTGATCTCAAGATAACAGTGCCCTTGGAAATTACTGCATGCCAATAAAATGTAATTGCAATGAAAATGTGTCAAAACAAAGTGAAACTATGATTAAAGCTTGATGCTAATGAAGTGTATCTTTCTAGACCTCACAATCCCCCTCAAGGTAATTAGTGTTATGTCCAGTTTGTGTAGAGATTAAGAAAAATACTCAAGTTACCATGCTAAGAAATTGAAGGATTAGGATTTGAACTCAGATCAATTTATCAACTGATGTGTTCTTTCATTAAAAAAAATATACAAGTTTTTCTTTGTAAAATTTGTCATAAAACTAAAAGCTTATTCTTAAAGCAGATACATAAGGAAGTAATTCCTTATGTATCTGCTTTAAGAAGTGTAAGGGGAATCCAGTTCATTTAAAATACTAAAATTAAGAACTCTTCTCCCAAACCTGCACTTTATTTCCATTGTTGTACTTTGGCAATGGCCTCTCACATTGCATTTATCACTGTTTTCTGCTTCAACCCCATTCAGATATCTACCATGTACTGGCTTTGGCTTAGATCTTAGAACTACATAGTTTTCTTCTTGCTAATAGCATTGGCTCACATCATCATGCCATAAAATGAGAAACATAAAAACAGTCACATCACTTGGAGTCATGAATAAAATGTAAATTAAAATCATGATGATGTTAGATGTTAACTGTTTTGCCCAATGTATTACTCACTTATACACTGAGCCTGAGTTTTGCCGAAGCATTCTTACCTGAAAGTCCAGACACATCAGATTTAGGCAAGTGTCGAGCTTTTAAAACAACCACAGTGAGAGTATTTGTGGTGGACTGATAGCAGAGAGAGATCAGTAACTCACCACGTCCTGAAGACTTCTAAACAAAAAAAAGACATGTGATAAGTATTTTTATTATTTTAGTTTTGACATTTTTACTATACCAACATTTTAAAGAAACATAATAGATTTTTTATTTAAATCTAATTTTCCTACTTATTTTTTATTTATTATCTAAGGAACTCGAGTAACTACAAGCGTGTGTACAACATCACCACCTCCTAAAAAGAACTGCCTGCCATCTCGTGGTTTCTTTAGATACTGCAGGATGGTAAAATTTGTAGTGAGTTAGCCACACCCATGAAATGTTTAGAAGGATAGAGTATAATCTGTATGAAGGTAATTTTAGCTTTTGCTTTTCAAGTGAATCTTTACTTTTAGAAGTTATTAATAGTAAAATTTTTTTCTTGAATTGATCTCTATAGTGCAAAATTACTCATGTTAACTTTGATTTGATTTTAAATTCTTTAGCACTGACATTACAGGAAATTGAATTCAGACCAACTGAAATTTATTCTAACCCTCAACACTCTCCTGGCCAAGAGGGCTAACAGAGTTAAAACTTCCCCCAAAGTCCTCACTTAATCCAAGGAATTTATTGAATATTGGCAAGAACTGCCTCAATTATTGAGGGGTTGTTTTTGACCACTATTATAGGATTCTTCTTTGCATACTACTTAAATGTTGTACTTTAAAGATATTAGGTAAGATAACCAAAAACTCAAAGTACAAGTTTTAACTGAAAGGAACAAAATGCATACTTGGGACTTGATAATGACTAAGAATGATGGCTGGCCCGAACTTCTAAAACATTAGTATATTGTCATACAAAAGCTGACATAAGGTGACTATGAATAAGCAGTCCAAGAAAAATCAGAGTAGGAAACACATCTTCATTCCCAGAATGCCACTAAACAGACGGGTGTCTCAAACAAGCTACTTGATGTTTCTGTACCTTGATTTTCATTTATTTCAATAAAGAGACAAAAGTAAGGATATGGTTGAAATAAACTTTGTTATTCTGTAAAATATGCCTTCTAGACACAAATAATTCTGAAATAACACAGTTGGAATCAACTGAGATCAGTATTTAAAGTAGAAATAGGTTCAAATATGACTAATATGTTTTATTATTTTCTAAAAATCTCGAACTACCAAAGCAGTATGACTATGAAAGCCCAGTAATTCACTTGCTATTATACAACACAAAGATGGTAATTTATAATTTGCTAAGATGTGATGTCTCTTCCTTAAAAAGCAATTCTATGAAAAGTCAATACAACTTCCAAATCCTCCAGATGAATTGATTTAATTTTAAATTTCAATTTCAAATTCAATTATCCTGACCTTGAAGTATCTTTGTTAACTTCCTTATGAATAAGAAATATGTGTGTGCACTTTAAGTGGCAGTCTCGGTCAAAATATTTGTGAAAAAATTTAACAAAAATATTTATATAAATGATAAATATCCATAAAGAAGGCCTATTTATTTTACATAATTAAAATTTAAGCACTCCAGTTTTGGGTTAAATTTTCTTTCATCTATTCTATTTTCTGGCTTCCCATTTGATTAGATTAATAATAATTAAACATGGTAAGATGATATGTACAAAACTTATTATTTGAATGAAAATCCTCTCTATATAAGAAAGCTATGTAAAAGATTGTTTGTAAATATTGAAGTACTAAAAATGAATTACCCTAACATTTCTCTTGATAATCTCTCTGTTCATTAACATTTTTCCATCAGATAATTCAATTCCTGTGAGAGGAATAAGGACTTCTCCAATGATATCATCTCTTGAAAACCTGTCAAAACTCAAGATTGTGAAGTGCAAGGCCAACTCTTGGATCTGGGTGTAGGGGATCCCATAGAATGTAAAGGTCTCATCAAAAGCTGGGTCCAAGGTCTTTCTCAGAACTCTGGTTTTCACTTTATGCTTCTTTTCTGGGAGGATCGTCATTTTGATGTATGGGTCAGAGGTCATCGACTGCTCATCCATGGCAGGCAAGCCACGGGCTTCCTTGATATTTACCACAAATGCTTTCCTCTCAAAGTTGTACTCTAAGGAGAAGAAGAGGGTTCCCAGCTTCTCTTGTTTCTCTTCTGAAGTAAGGGAAGTGCTGGACTTTAAGCTATCAGGGGAAACCATCTCTTTTTCACCTTCTGAAGAGAGCTTTGGGGTCACATTCTCCAGATGAGAAGGGTTGCCAGCTTTGTGGTTTGTCTTGGGAAAATTGCCATTGAGATCTCTCTTCTCAAGGTCAAGATGCAATGAATTCTTTGGCACAGCTTGTTTATTCTTTACTTCATTTTTGTCATCTGATCCAAACTTCTTTTTGCTGTTTAGGTTTTCAGGGTAAATATCAACTCCCTTTAGCACATGCACAAATTTATATGGAGGCGTCTTGTTAGACTTAGATGATTTTCTCTGACAGCAAATCCATGCAAACAGAGAGACTGTGAAGACCAGGCCAAATGCACTGAAGATCCCCACCACTGTAGGGATTTCATCTGAAAAATCAAATGACCAATAACACACATTAAAGGAGCAGAGCTGGAGAAATGAAAGCATACTTAGAAGTGGCAATTGCTGGAGGGTGCACAGATTGAATTATTTCCCAAATGTTCTGGGTATGAGTTATATACACACATCACATCACTTTTAGAAATAAACACATTTCTGTGTGACACACAGAAAAAAACTTCATTTCAGTAGATTTTTATAAATAAAATGAAAAGATGAAATTGGGTCTGGGTCAAGGATGGGGGATGCTAAATGACCCTGACCTACCTTGCTTTTCTCAGAGAACATGAGTCAACTATAGCATGATGGGTCAGTACTAATTCCATTATGCTTTCATTGACATTTTGAAGCTTTTCAGAATCATCAATTCTAAGTGACTGTGGAACTCTAAATGCACATTTTTCAAAAAGTGAGAGATTCTGTATTCTTAGTAGTTCTTTATTTACCCAAGATTCAAGTAGAAAACATCTAGGGACTTAGTGGTTTTCAGGTAATTTTAAGAAATGGTAGAATATTATCTGCCATTCTTACAGACTCATTAATAATTTCTATCCAAATTATGAAACACTGGTAAAAGAAATGTACATATGTTAGGGGAAAAGAATAAAAAGATGAACAGCAGGGTATTAATACATAACTTATAACACTACAAACTCCTTTTATACCAACCCAAAATTTCTCAGTGAATTATCCAAAGTTCAAATAATTGCACTTAAATAAGATACAAACTGAACAATGGTTATAGAAGAATCATCACTCCTTAATGTATAATGAGAAGAGTGTGTATAGCTAATTAAGAGTTAAATATTATCCATAACTGACTTTTTTCCCTAGCACATTTCCACATGGCAAATGGTAACCAAATTGAAATTGGCATCCTTTCCTTGATTGAGGGCACATTAAATTACTGACATTAGGTAACACTGATTATGCATGAAGCTTTTCATATTCCATATGTAGGCATATTTCTCCAACAAATGATCAGCAACGCTGTTTAAGTAAAAGCAGTATTGCTCTATCTGGACACAGTGCATCTACTGAGTCAATGTTTAATACAATCAAAGTGAAAATAACTAATGTAATATTACCTACACTTAGTTCAACTCCAATCCACTTTTTTTTTATTTCAAATAGTGAATAATAAAGTTAAAAGGCCAAGTCAAAAAAGGGTTAAGTCTTTTTTAAAAAAACCTGGAAGAACAATCTTTTGTTACTCCCCTTCCCCATCCCCCCAAATCTTCTGCCTATTTACTTCATAATCATGAAGCTGAACTCAAAGAATATAAGATTAAGAAAGGACAAATAAGAGTTGAAATATTTAAGAAGATAAAAAGCAAAAAATAAACAAAAACAAAAAGCCCAAAACAAAATAAAAAATTCTCTAGCTTAATTATATCAATAAACTGAATCATGTAAAGATGAAAAATAAACCTTGAATTCCCCAAATAGAAAAAGCAGGGAATGCTATAGAAAAATAATAAGGCAAGAACTAAAGATAATCAGCTAAACTTAGTATCAGGTTTTCAGTTTTTCCTTCTACTCAAGTCTTTGTGGAGGAAAAAAAATTATCCATCCCTGTACTCTAAGAATCCAACTCCAAGAAGCAAAAGCAAAGTTGTGAACTAAGGCAATTCTGCAGCAAGAACAATAAAAGCAATATAAAATTACCTTCATTTTTTTTCTATAAATCCTGATCGGTCAAGTTAGAAAATATTTCATAGTCTGAAAATGCCTTAGTATTAGAAAATTTCTCATTTTCAAATCAGAAATTGGGAATAAACATCACAAAACTATAAAATCAATCATCCAAATGGAAGAATGTGAAACTCATTTCTGAATATAATATCATAAATTTTCTCTATTTAATACTTATGCAAAATGGCAAACTATTCAATATGATGTGGAAAGACTTACCTGCTCCTTATGTATTCCCTATGGTGAGGTCTTAAGCTTTTGATAGTAAATATTTCAGTCAGTTCACTCAGTTTAATAACACTTACCATGCATTTGTAGATAGCATTCCTTATTCACAAACTTCTATAAAATACCCTAATTTTTTTTTGGAATACTTATAAAGTGAGTACAAGTTTGATCTCTTTCTTTGGAATATAATGGGAACTGAAAGTACTACTATTTTTTATTTGAAGAAATACACCTGATTTTTACTTACTGAAAAAGAGGAGAGCAAAGTTGCCAAATTTTATTATAGGAAAAAGGAAACTGAAATGGCAAACAGTAATGTTAATTCTAGTTTTCAGTAGATTTTAGTTACCTGTTTGACCTGCAACACTTCCCTCAACTCTCTGGGCTTTAGTTACCTCACCTGTGAAATGAAACGGGGCTAAGCTAGTCTATTTCAAATATCCCTTTAACCCCAGCATCATAGATTTCTTTTTCTTCCACTAGCAACATATTTCAAGGATAGAAGGAAAACATAGCAGAGAAAACATCCTTATGGTACACTCTGTACTAAAATATACATCCCAAACCCCATATACACAAGTTGTTTTATACAGAGATCAAGCCCTTATATAATCACTGAAACATTTGGCTTCCCCGAATAAGTTAAATACAGATTTACCTACAAATAAAAATCACCTACAGAATTAATGAAACCAGCAAGCAAACAACAGACTCCCTTCCTTTTACTGAGCGCGTGCTGTAATTTATAGAGCTACCTTAACGTTTAGGAACTTCTTGGATGTACAATCGCCCTGGCAAAAGGCAATTTCAAGGAGAAAGATACTAAGGCAGGGAGAAACAACAGAGATAAGCCACGATAGTCCGTTTACTCTTTTCATTTTCCTTTCAGATAACCTACCTACGAAATCTATATTCAACATCCCGCGGAAAAAAATCCAAACCAAACCAAAACAAACAAACAAAAAACCGAGAATCCACTCGGAGTATTCAAGAACAATCACAGTTGTAAGTTGGGTAACTTGCTTACCGAATTCTTCCCGGCTGGTAGTAATCGGAGCCATTTTTTTGCTGCGTGCTCTGTCCGAGGTGCTGAACGGAAAACTCCCTGGCTGATTCACTTGCCCGGATCGGAAGCTCCGTCTTTTCCGAGTGCTGAAAACAACAGCGCAGAACCCAGGGGACCTGCGCCTGGAACAGGGAGGAGGCAAAGAGAGAGGTCCACTCGCCCGCGCACAGTGATTTGCCGCCCCTGTTCCTGTTTTGGCTGTTTGAAAAGCTCGTCTCGGAGACTCTAGACGTGGCTGAAACCCGAATTGACGCAATCCTGACGCTACTGGGTTGAAATCAGCACCTGCCCCCGTCCCCTCCTCCCTCCAAGCCTCTCCTCGCTCCTTCCTTCTTTCTTCCTCCCTTCCCTTCTGAGGATTTAACACACACTCATCAATTATTTTAACTGTTGGACTACTGAAGATTAGCTTTGCTATTCTTTGGGGGCTCAGAGGCACACGGAACTGAGCCCCGAAACTCATCCCTGTTAGTTCCTAACATAAAAATCTCCTAATCATCTAGCTCAGTAATATGTGTGTGAATTATCACAGTAATGAGATTACAGACGTTATTTAACAGAAGAGTAAGAAGAGAGAGATTTCTGCATCAAATGCCCCATTGAGACATGCAAGAATGTTTTCTTGTTTCTAAATATTTCTTTGATATATTACAATTACGTTAGAAAAAATCCACTGCCCATTGATCCATTTGAAATAAGTTTCCCCACTATAATCACTTATTTTCTAAGAAATTATTAGTCTAAACATTTTGCTAATGCTGTTGCTCTATCTGTCTGTCAGTTTTCTTCCTTTTAATATCTGACATTTGACCAGTTAAAGTACTTAAGAACAGATGGGGATAATCCTTTCTGTATTCAGACTCACTCTCAGTTATGACTTTTGCATATAATGAGACTGCTTTTGGAATGATGTTTCTGGTTGAATGTCCTGACTTCTAATAGGTTTGTGCAAAATAGTTACAAAAAAGCAGACCAAAATCTAAAATGAATGTTATCAATAATTATTGGTTATGTTCAAAGGAAAAACTTTTTTTTTTTCTGAATTGATGGTATTCCTTGGGTTGTAGAACTGGGAAAAATATGGTGTCAGATTCTGATTAATTTGATCTGAAGGTGGCTTTTTTTTAAAACAAATGTTTAGCCATTTTCCAGAAGGGAGAACTCAGACTGTAATTCCAACTGTCAATTATTGCTCCACAAAGGATTCCTTTGCTCTGGAGCTCAGTGAGCAAATGGCATTCAGTATGTGCTCGGATGGGGGTGGGGAGGGTGCACTGGGTGAGTCCCAGAAAGCTTCTGTACAAGTGACAGGTTCCTGCATGTTGGCGAGTAGCCACTGGGGCGAAATTGGCTTCAGTCTTTTGCATCATGGAAAATTTTATAAACCAAAGTCCTTTTTCTACTTGCTCCCACATACTTGGCATTTTAATATTCTTCTAACAGATTTTTTCAGACTTTGTATCTTCATGCTATGAAAACACACAAACTAATTTACTGCATTTAATTTTTTCATTGGCAGAATCTATGGCTTGTGTCCTCATCTTTCCACTTCATTCAGATTACTTGCTCTGCTATTATGCATACACGCAGTAGGATTGTCCCTAGAAATAGACATCCATTAGATTTATTTGTGATGCATATCACAGGTAAACAAAATAAATGGTGTGAAATTTACTAAAGTGTGTTTTCTAGCTAAGTTATTGCTAACATATGGTTAAACTCATTTGTTGTAAACACAAGTACCTTATATGTATGTTCTATATAAATTAGTATCTCATTAATTTTACCTTCAGGTGGTAAAATATTGTCATCTAAAACCTGTTTAGATTGTTTAAACTCTGTTTCTATAGAATTCAGCCACAACCTGGTTGTTTCATTTCTAAGAGCACATTGTGATAAAATTACCTCTTGCCCAAAGCTAACGCTATTGTGAATGTAGTAACTGTTTCACTGCTTGCTTTTAAAACACATTGAAAATAAATGTTATTAATTAAAATGTCTGAGGTGTCTCTCATTTTCATTTGATGAATAGGATATTATTCATTATCCAAACTCTTTAGAAAAGCTTCTGGCAGCACCAGTTGAGGAGTAGGGACCTGACCCAACACAGAGGAAAAACCTGTAAATTCTAATGATTGAGATTCATACCCTACCACATTATTACATTGTTCTGTTAAGATTCAGCAAACAAGTGATCAATTCGCTGACGTGAGCAATGCCACTCCAGAAGCAGAGACACTGGAGGAGGGATTGTTGCTAGGTAACCACCTTTTGCCACCCAAAACACACAGCCTCAAACAAGTTCCTGCCCTGGGAAACACAGAGCGTTCTGTGGAAGTGGCAGTGCTGACTTCAGAGTGAGTCTGACTGTTGAAAGAGTTCAGCGTTTATCCTGCTTGATTTACAATTCTGATTACAAATGTCTATATATACTTTGAGAAACAATGAACAGAGCATTTGAATGCAATTTGGTTTTAAGGAATCTAGTTGAATTTTAAGACTATTAGTGGCTCTTTATATGCTTATTTTTATCCATTTTTTTATTTTTAATTATAATATAGTTTTGATGCCGGGGTTCTTGTTTGTGGAGTCAAAGAATGAACTTATCAAACACCCAAGGTAGGAGAGTCAGTGAGAGGCTTTTATTGAGAGATACAGTGAGAGGACAGAGCTCCTGGCTCATGCCAGGAGGAGACAAGAGAGCCCGGGGTGGTGCGTTGTCTAGGGGATTTATAGGCAGTTGAGAGACAGCAGGCTAGGGATGTACACCTGCTAGGTGGTCCCAAAATGTTTATCTTTGAAGAGACACTAAGTTTCTTACCAGTCTTCTGGATTATTTTGCAGACTTAACACAAGAAATGTACTGCTCTGATTCTTTCCCAGAATAGCAGCTTCTTGGTTTGGGAGCACATCGATCAAATCACCTATCCTGCTCCCAAGGTGGGCTGGATTATTGTCTGTTATGTTAAGAAACCTATTTTTTTCTTTTTGGGTTTTAAAATGCAATCTTATCTTCAAGATGGAATCTTCCCTGTTTCCACTATATTGTTTGTGACTGGACCTGCATGCTATATTAATTGCCAAGGTTATATATTACTTGATTAGGGGTTGGAGGAGGAAAAGGAGCATTTGGGCAAAGTTAAAGAAGATAAACTGGGCCTTTCAGCAGGCTAAAGTAAATTTTACAACAGCCTCATTTAATTGACACAATGAAGATATGGGCTATGCTGAGTTATTTTCTTATCTGGGGAATGTTGAAACATTCCAGGCCAAGTTACTCCTGGCTTTTTATTTTTAACTAGTTTCACGGAAGAATGCTTATATTCCTAGTTTGATATTTTACTTTGGAGAATTAATGTGACTCTGACTTCGCTTAATTGTTTAAAATGGAGTTTTGGTATGGGTCTTTTTCTGGAGTCCCTCACCGTATTTTGACTATATCCAAGGTCCTGTCTCAGTTTGATTTATAAAGTTTTTTTATATAGTTTAATCTATATTTTCTCCTGTCCCTCACTTAAAAATATTATTGGTGGATGCATTTTAACCTTCTATTGGGCAAAAGCAATTTTCAAAAGATTTTGAAATGTTTCAATGATCTTCAGGAATTCATCAATACCCAGATTAGTAACACAAAGGCATTTTACGGGGATGTGGGTGGAATAGAATCAAGTATCTGATAATGGATAATGATAATTGTTTTAATGTTCCACATCATTCTATTAAGAATGCTGGCTCTAATTTTAATGGAATGGATTTATGTTACAAGCACACCCAAGTTGAAATCCTGCAAGACAAGTGTTTTCTCAACTGGAATCATAGAAATCCATTCACTATGCACCATTTCCATATTGTTTTTCTTTAACATATTCAGCATTTACTATGTGCCAACCATAATTAAGCTTTGATGGCTTGTGAGTGAAAAACTCATTAGCCCAAACCCAAAATTACCTTCCTTCCTTTCTTTTAACACATTAAACATGGACTATCTGCTAGGTTTTGTTGAGTATGGGGATTTCTATTGGTCAAGATGATAAAAATGATCCTTGCTCTCATGAAGCTTACAGACTTAGAGGAGAAATGGACAGCCCTTCATCTAGAACTGGGAAAAACTTACTAGATAATAATTATATTCATATTTCTTTTATAAGTGGTACTTTTCATCAGTACTACTTTACAGTTATCAACCTCTATCCCATTCAGTCCTAACTGATTTTTTCTTTATAACCCTTTTCTTTTTTTGTAGATTCATTATGATTCTAACACTCAGATTGCATTCTTACATCTCCCATATCTGCCCACATTTTCTCTCTCCTTTAAGAGTCAATTAAAGTTTCGTTTATACTCTGAAGTTTTTGACTTAACAACACTCATGAATTTATTCTGATTTAAATTTTTATAGTACGATCTCTAGTGAAATCCTTTAAATCAGCTTGACATATCCTTGGTTATATAACCATAATTCCTGCCAAAAAGCCAAAAGTCCTCCACTAGCACTCATTCCAAATATTCCAAAAAGTTCAGATTTGTTCATGATCTTCCTTGCACCAATTTTTTCATGACTTCTGGCTTCATTTTATTTTCACATTCCAGGCCTGTTTTTAAACTGTGGTTTTTGAAATTACTTCAGTTCTTCAATCTTGGACCTCCAATAAGAGTTTGACCTTGAGTCATTCTAGAAGCTTGTCCTGTTTCAGTTTAGCTTAAAGGTATTTCTTGATAGCTCTTCATAACACACCCATCTTTCCTCTTTCAATCTCTTCCTGAGATATCTTTAGCCTTCTGTTAACAACAAAAAAAAGGAATATTTTGTGTGTGCATTGGGAAGTAAGGAGGCAGTAAATATATACTAAATTCTTCACCCGAAACAGTGATTTAATGAAAATTTTCTTAGTAATTAATGAAATATACATTTATTTTCAAAACATAAAGATAAACACTGGCACAATTGACAAGAATGAATGTCTCATAAATTATCAGATAATATATATTCTAGCATAAAATAGCTGTACCAAAAAAGAGGCAGCAAAGACAAAATTAAAATGACTATAAGCACACACAAAAAAAGACAAAATAAGTAAAATTTAATTAACTAAGTATGCATAAAAGGCTGATAAATTCCAAGATAAGTGGTTTCATAATGACTTAAAAAATCGTTAAACTATATGCTGCTCATAGTAAAAGAACCAGAAAATGACTACAAAATTAAAATAATAGAATGTACCATGGTTTATTAAAACTATGGAGATGAAAAAAATGAATTTAAGTTAAAAAGTCAAGAAAAAATCAAA